ATTTGTGTCACAGGGCTCTCCTGGTGACCACCTGAGGACCTGCACAGTCTTCACACACTCCCGGAGGGTATTTGTTACAGGGCTCTCCTGGGCTTCTAGCACTTACTAATTCCTTTTCTTCTCCATAAAGATGTTGAGGTGATTCACACAAAGGGTAGATTCACACAAAAAGTAGATTTAAAAAAAAAATGTTAAATAAGTTAGAAACAAAATCTGGCAAAAGCAAGTAAAGAAACAAATTGCTTTGTGGTGACACAGTCGCTGCGACCCATCCCAAAGCCAGCCTCAAGGGAGTCTGCAAGGAAAGGCCTCACACTCGGAGATCACCCACCCTTCAAGTGAGACAGGAGTACATGCATGGTCCTGAGGCCACGCCACGTGGGCTTTTGTACGAGCAACGTGAAGAACGTCAGGTCCCCCGACAGCCATCTTACCATAAATGCAGAGCTCTGACACGTGCCCTTGGTTTTCTTCCAGAACCTTTCATTCTCAGAACAAAAGGTCCTTGCCATACTGCTATATATTCTTGTTAAATTTATTTTATGAAGAGTTTTCCATGATAGATTTGATTTTCATAAAGTAACACATTCTTGCATCATAGTTTATACGGTGTTTTGGCGTCTTTCTGTGTAAAGATTCCTAAAGGCTAAATATCATTACCCAAACCTGTTCAGTTTCCAGCCACAGATTTCTAGAAGAGAGAGAAAAGAGAAACAGGCAACACCAGAGCTAACATGTCTCAATTCAGACCAAGTAAGCACTGAATAAAAGGGAAGCGAAATCACGTTGCCACCTGAAGAATCCAAAGTCAGAACCACAAAATGAGCATGGATGCGAGGAGCAGGAAGCCACGGAACTGGCCGGGGGTTCAGCGGCCTGGTGAGTTGGAAGGTGCTCGAGGCTGCCGTAAGGTCGAGTGTGGGACTCTGAAGGTCACACCAGCCAAGCTGAACAGCAGCCGTCCTTCAAGACTCAGGCCCCAAAGACAGACAGACACTTCTCTAAAGAAGAAACCCAAATGGCCAATAAGTATATGAAAAAATGTCAACCTCCCTGGCAATCAGGGAGATGCTCATCAAAAGTACACTGAGACTTCATGTCACTCCCTTGGGAACAGCAGCCACCAAGACACGGTGACAATGAGTGCTGGGGAGGCTTTTGGGGAAGGAACACTTGAGCGCTGTGTGGGGACTGCAGACCAGGGCGACCACTGTGGGGAGAGTCTCAAAAGACTAGCAAGGGAACCCCAGATGACCCAGCTGCCCACCCCTCGGTGTTTACCCAGAGAACTCGAGTGGGCTCACGGTAGCGATGCCCACACATCAGCCCACAGGAGTCTAGGTCACAACAGCCAGGCTGTGGAACCAGCCCAGGTGCCCTCGACAGATGAATGGACAAGGAATGGGGCACATATCCACAGTGGAGTTTTACTTGGCCATGAAGAAGAGTGGAAGTGTGGCATTTGCCGTGACGTGGAAGGAAGTGGAGACTATTAGGCTCAGACCCAGAGAGTCAAGCTGCAGCTAAGTAGGGAGAAAAGGGAGGAGTGGGTATCAGAAGGTTGGAGGGAGATCTGGGAGTAGAAGAAAGCGAGGGAGAGCAGGAGGGAGGGAGGGGAATGAGAGAGAATCTGACAGGACCGTGGGGCTGGTGTAATATACCCAGTGAATCCACCTTTACGTATATCTACAGGGCACCAAATAAGATCACACCAGTAAATAAACAGAAGGAAGATGAGTAGAGGAAAGAGAGAGGAGGAGGGAGAAGGGGAGGGAAAGAGGAGGCGCCAGGACTGACGTGGAGGGCACGTATGGATCTGTCACAGTGAGCCCATGCACACAGTCGTACTTCATGCACAACCATCACGTGTAATGCACTCATCAAATCACACTAAGAAAAGAGCACCCAACACTGTCCACACCAGAGGGGGAAATGATGGCCAAGCCAGTAGAGGAGAGCTCCACAGGCCCAGGACCCAGCGTGTGCACAGTCCAGAACACCACGGAGCGTCTGCCCTCTTGCTCTGTGATCTGAGCTCAGCTCCCATCCCCACACATCTCAACGATGCCCCCATACACCGTGATCTGTGCGTAGGCTCCCTAGCACACGCTCCACCAGGAGCTACGTCACAGGCTCCTCTACCCAGCTGGGCAAAGTGCATGCCAGCGCAGAGCACGCCTATGGCTCTGGGCTCACGGATCGTCATTCAGCCACCCATCCCACAAACACTACTAAAATGCATTCCTCAGAGAGAGGAGGTCCTTCAACTCAAGGAGCCATATAACAGCAGTGAATTCACAGAAAACCTTTGTCACCAAAAACTAGTCAAGGACAACACCAGAAAGAAATGTAGGCTAATCTCACTTATAAACCAAGATCAAAATCCCCTAACAAAATTTAGCAAAACACAGTCAGGAAAACATTTTCAGAGGTAACACTGTCCGCAGATGAGCATCGGGTCTGGAATGTGGTGGCGAGTTCAGCGTGAGAAGTCAGGTGCCACAGCAGCAAGCTGAGCTACTTCAGGGCAAGGACAGAGACAGCCAGTCAAGCTCATCCACGGTTGGATGGACACAGTGGCAGTCACAGTGCTGGTCAGACAGTGAGGAGGTCAATGGCATTTGCAAGAAAGCAGCTAAAGTGGTGCCTGTGAGATCTGAATTGCCCAGGACGGAGGAAGCCAAGGCCCCCCACGCCCTTGGGTACTGGCCAAGAAGAGCCCGACACATGGGGGTTCTCCAGGCCAGTGCGTTACAGTAGGGAGGCCTGGGAGCCAGTGTGCTGGACATGGGGACCCAACAGCTCTGTCAAATAAACAGTACCAGCAACAGAACTGCAAAACACAGTTTCCACACGGTGGCCAGGGACACACAATCGAGCCAGGTCGTGAGGATGGCGAGGCCTCCGCCCTCCCCAGACACGCTTTCTCATGCTTTAAGCTGCAGCAGCTTGTGTGTGTAGACACTCACACACCCCTCCGCACCTCACTCTGCGTCACCTCTGCCTATGACGTCCTCCCCACACCCTCCAGGGTCCGAGGGTGCCTCAGTTTCTCTCCTACCTGTCCCATGAGACTGCATGTCTTATCACAAATACCTGCCGGTGGCTCCAGTCTGACCAGCTACATGTCTGTTCCTCACTTCCCCTTCCCGATCACAGGAGGGTGTGACTCCTCTTTCGGGCCTGGTGCTAATACTGTGCACCTAAGGCTCAGTTTACAGTTCAGCGCCTGCATGTGCCCTGTCCTTGCCGGTGCCAGGAGATACCAAGTCAGCAACAGTGGTCACCTCTCCTCTTAAAGATCACTTACCTTCTTCTTTTTCTGCAGGCGTCTTTCCATGTCTGAGTACTTTCTGAAAGACAAAAGACAGCTGGTCATGTCTATGCTCAACCCATTCTCGCCGACCGCAGGCTGCAGCCTGGTCCTGGGTGGGGAGCGGGGCAAGAGCGCGACCTGTGGTCCATGCAGAACAAGGGCTCAGGCAGCCACGGTTTCCCAGCACGGGAGCAGAACGGGCCTGGTCCTGCTTTGCCTGCTGCCTTGGGGTCCCTGAAAGTGAGATGGCTCTTATCAGGGTGGCTTTGGCCAAGGCTGGCACCCACAGGGGCTTCTGTCTCGGGTTTGTGGTGGGGAGCCTGGCATGTGGCGCTCCCACAAAGGCGGCTCCTCTTGCAGCCCTCACAACTCCCGGGGGAAGCGACAGCCTCCCTGTTCTTGGAGGAGCCAGGCTGAGAGGAGTAGGCCTCCCTCCCTGTCCACAGCCGCCTGCGGCAGGGCCCGATGACCCCTCTGCCTCACTCTGCACTCGACCTCTTGCACTGGGTGGTAGATGTGCACACAGGAACCGTTGCCTCCCCAAGGGCTCACAGAGCGGTTCCTGCACCTGCTTGTCCTGTGCAATGGCCCTGTCCCTCGGCCACTGGGCAGCCCCTGTTTCTCCTGGGCCTCAACCTCTTTGTTGAGGGAAAGATACTTAAGCCCCTGCTGGAGACTGTGAAGAATGGTGATGGCAACCTGACCCATGAAGAATCTGTATCACCAGAACAGCACATTTCACTGTGGAAAAACAGCCAGCAGCTGAGGTGGACATACTCAGAAGAAGTAGTGGGGAGAGGGGAGATCTTACCAAAGCTCAGGAAGCAAAGACTTAAAATGGACTCACTCTTGGACCTCGATGGGAACGTTTGGGGACCTCCAGTACGGAAAGCTTTTGAAATTCTCCAGTCCCGCAGCAACGTAGAACTGACTGTCTTGCAAGTCCTGTGAGTTGTCCACAAGACGTCCATCCAAAGTAAATAATCTGCAAATGCAGAAAGAAGCAGGCTAGAGATGGCAAGACCAGCACACAGGGCGTGGTGTTTTCCCCTGTGACACGACTAACTTGGGCCCTACCGAGAACCAGCCCTCAACAAGCAAGCCCCGCCGTGGACGGTGAGCCCCGAGCTCTGCTCCTCCAGGACAGGCACGCAGCTTGCTCCAGACTTCTGATTAACTGCATTTGTGATTATCCACCAGTGCTCAGAGGCTCTCAACAACACGCTAAGCTCTTGTTTGGTATTCAATTAATTTTAACTAATAACAGCTAAAGTTAATACAAACTGGCCTAATTGTTATAACAATACTTGGCAAACAAACCAGCATTTCCTGCAAATAATGTGCCTTTTCTTTTTTTTTTTAATTTTTATTGTTGGTTGTTCAAAACATTACATAGTTCTTGATATATCATATTTCACACTTTGATTCAAGTGGGTTATGAACTCCCATTTTTACCCCATATACAGATTGCAGAATCACATCAGTTACACATCCATTGATTTACATATTGCCATACTCGTGTCTGTTGTGTTCTGCTGCCTTTCCTATCCTCTACTACCCCCCCTCCCCTCCCCTCCCCTCCCCTCTTCTCTCTCTACCCCCTCTACTGTCATTCATTTCTCCCCCTTGTATTATTTTTCCCTTTCCCCTCACTTCCTCTTGTATGTAATTTTGTATAACCCTGAGGGTCTCCTTATAATGTGCCTTTTCATCGGCACCAAAAGGCTCCTCTGAGCCTACTTCTTGTTTGGTCCTCACTCACTAGTTCGTCTGTTCAAGAAAGAGTCGACTCGTCCATATGCATAGGCAATGAGGTAGTCATTATTAGGGCAAAAGGAAGAAGTCATTGCTTCTCCACAGTCAGGATGGCAAACACGCTGCGCAGCACACAGACGGGAGGGGCGACACGCTGGGCCGCTGCGACAGCTCAGGTCTGGAATATCCCCCGACACCCACGTGCGGAAGGCCTCCTGTCCCAGCCTGTGCCCTGTGAAGAGCTGGTGGAGCCTTTAAATGCAAGGCCTAGGGCAGGGACCCTGGGGCCTAACTGGAGGGTGATGTTGGGATCTGGCCCTTCCTCTCTGCTTGACCACCATGATGTGAGCAGCTTCCTCTGCCACAAACTGCCACCATGTTGAGCTGCCTCCACACAGGCCAGGACCAAGGGTGAACTGCAACTTCCCAAACTGTCAGCCAAAATAAGCCTTTTCCCTTATTAAGCTGGTTGTCTCAGGTTATTTTGTCACAGTAATAGAAAGCTGGCGGTCAGAGGGTCCAAGACGAGCCTGGTCAGACTCAGTGTAACCTTCAAAGGTCTAAGAATTCCCAGTGAGGTTTGAAAAGTGGGCAGGATTTCATCATGTGAGGGTGGATGGAAGCCATCTGGGCCAGAAGGAGGGAATGTGCAGAAAAGTCAGACAAGAGGAGGCTGCCGTCCAGGGGACGCGGGGTGAAGGGCAGGTTGTAAAGAGCCTCCACGTCCAGGGAGAGGACTCAATGGTTAGTTAGACAGAGAGCAACACTTTCTGTGGAAGAGTGGGTAGCAGCCATGTCACAGCCACAGCAAGCTGTCTTCGTGGGCAGCTGGGACAACAGGAAGGGCCTCCAAGAAACAGGAGAGGCACCCACTGCGAGGCTGTGAGTCAGGGCTCTGAATCAGGGCTGCACCCGAGTGGAGGAGAAGGATACTGGATACAGGAAGAGCTGGAGGCCACAGAGCTCAACATCACCCCACCGCACACCAGATCACTGAGGGGCCCGTGAAGCACAGGAGCCAAACACCACAGGTGCTACGAACCAAGGAGTCTAGGAGGAGACCAGCAAGCTCCCAGACTGCGGCTCTGGGGCCCCTTCTGAGACCTGCAATGTTAGATCAGGCCTACGGGAAGCGCAGAGGGACAGCATCAGGACAGGAGGAGACAGGAGGAAGCCCAGGAGACAG